AGATTCAGTGTGACTATTATAGCATGTGCTAGGGTCTTTTACCTTCACAAGAGGGGGGATCTACCTATGGGTGGTGTGAGAATTATGTGTGGGAAAGAACAACGTGTGGCATGCCTTGATCCTTACCATGGGACAGGCACTGTGCCAGGCACATTTTATGCATTACTTCATTAAATTCATATAACTACTTTTATTGATATCCCCACTTTATAAGATGAGGCCATTAAGGTTTAGAGAAGTTAGACTCAGTTACTATGGGTCTCTCTGACCCTGAAGGCCACCCCCTTAATCACCACACCACCTTGTCTCCCTGGTGTCTTTCAGATGAACCTGGCCTCTCTTCCCTGGGAGAGCTTGCAGTTAAGATCCATGAATTCCTCAAATTTCTTCCACAGGAACCCGGAGAGAAGTCAGTTGAACGCTGACAACTTCATCTCAGACAAATGTGGCCTTTTCCATATACATATGAAGACACAACACACAGAGCATTTATGTACATAAGATCTGGAGTCAATGCCCGTGTCTTGGTAGTTTTGAAATCTTGAGAATTCAATTGTTCAACCAGATACTTCACTTATGCAATGGAAATGGGAAAATAAAATGCTTGTCCAGAGGTCAGGAACGGGCTACATATCCTTATTGTCCATTTCTGCTCTTTTAGAACCTTAAAATCTAAGATATATGAGATTTTACTCTAGACTCAGAATTATTGGTTCAAAATTGCCACGGCCCCAGCTTTTTTTTTTTTTCTTCTTTTTGTTTCAGAACTGGAGATTGATCTCAGGGGAACTCTACCACTGAGAGACATCTCCAGCCCGTTTTTAACATAGTTTTAATTTTGAGGCAGGGTTTCACTAAGTTGCCTAGACTGGCCTCAAACTTGCAATTCTCCTGCCTCAGTCTTCCTGGAAAACAGTGTGAACATTCTTCAAAAACATTTTAACCAGCAAGAAGATTTTTCTCTTCAACTTATTGCTTTTTGAGTTAACAGCTTGAACATGACTTTGGCAGTTGCTGCAGGTAATTTTTCCCTATTGATAACTGCTAACAAGAATCATTAAATTTCCTTTCATCTTTTGCCTAGCATTTGGGACCCCAGCCCTTATCATCTATCTACTTGCCTGGTCCTCATACCAACTAAATTAATCTCTATTTCCAGAATACGTCTCAATTTTTTCTTCCTTTCTGTATGTTTTTCTGTGGTTCTCTTTATCTCAATGATCTGAACCTAACTCCAGCAATGTCCCCCATTTTCAAGGTCGAAGGTCAGCTCAAATACTTCATCTACCCTAAAACTCTGCACAATCGTTTCAGCCCTTTTGTTTTCCTGTGTCTGTGTTCCATGTACATTTATTGGGCTTTAAAAAAAAAAAATCTTAACCACCCCCATCTTCTCTTGCACCAGTGCTCTTTGTGTTTCTCTTGCTGTTCTTACAGCCTAAGTATTGTGAGGGCAAGATCCAGGTTGCCCATTGACACACAACAGTGGCAGGGCAGTGTGAGGCTCACAGCTATGAGTTCAGGTCACAAGGCCAAGTGTAAAATCTGGCTATGTGCTTACTAACTGCAAGTTACTTCAACTTTCTAGCCTATAGTCACCTATAGGCACCTGTACTTACCACATGGGATCTCATGAAAATTAAATGAGCTGTTTCATGTGAAGTATTTAGCAGGCATCTGACATATTTTGGGAACCTAGTAGATGTTAAACATTTGCAGTGCTTACAGTGAGGCCTCTTATTCATTAATTCAATAATTTATTCATCCATTTATTCTGCCATAACAAAATACCGCAGGCTGGGTGGTTTAAACAGATGTTTATTTTTTCACAGTTCTGGAGTCTGGAAAGTCTACGATCAGGGAGCCAGTCAGTTTGATTTCTAGTGAGGGCTYCTCCTGGCTTGCAGCTGGCTGCCTTCTTCCTGTGTCCTTAACATGGTAGAAAAAGGGCTCTTTTTTCCTTTTCCTCCTTCTCCCTACTTTCCTCTTCACCTTTCCCCTTGCTCCTTCTCCTCCTGTTTCCCTTCTCCTCCCTCTGCTGTTGCTGCCACTAATCCTATAATAAGGGCCTACCTCGAATGACCTCATCAATCCCTAATTACATCCCCCCAAAACATCGAACTGGGAGTCAGGGCTTTAATACATCAATTTCAAGGGAACACGTGTTTTTCAGTCAATGTCAAGTGTCTATACATTTTTTGAGCTAATCTGTAGATATAGCAATGAACTAAATAGACCAAAGTCCCTGTGTCTTAGAGTTTACATTAATTCTTTTTTTTTTTAAAGAGAGAGAGAGGGAGAGAGAGAATTTTAATATTTATTTATTTATTTTTTTTAGTTCTCGGCAGACACAACATCTTTGTTTGTATGTGGTGCTAAGGATCAAACCCGGGCCGTACGCACGCCAGGCGAGCGTGCTACTGCTTGAGCCACATCCCCAGCCCAAGAGTTTACATTAATTCTAGTAGAAAAAGTAAGCATGGGTAGATAGAATAACAGTGCCTAGAGACTACACAATGTATCTCCATAACCTGCAAATATGTTATACTGCAGGGCAAAGGAGAATTAGGTCACAGAAGGAATTAAGTTTGCTAATCAGCTGTCCTTAACATAGAGAAGGAAACCCAACAGACCCAGGGCAACAACAACAGCCCTTAAAAATGAAAGAGGAAGGCAGAAAAGTCATAGTGATGCTGTAAAAGAAGGACTCAACGTGTCATTGCTGGCTTTAAAAAGGAGGCAAGGGATATGGACAATCTTCTAGAAGCTGGTCAATAACAACAAAAACACAAGAAAATGGATCTCTTCTATAGACTTCAGAATGGAATGCAACCATGCCGACACACTGATTTTAGTCCAACAAGAGCTATATTGCACTTCTAACCTCCAGAACTATAAGGTAATAAATTTGCATAGTTTTAAGGCAGTAAGTTTGTGGTATGTTGTTCTGCAGCCACAGAATACTAATATAGGCAATGAACAAAACAAGTAAAATATATAGTGTATCAGATTACAGTAAATTCTATGGAGAAAACTGGAGTAAGGAATGTGGCCAGGGTGTGTCAGAAGAAGAGGATGATTGTGATTTTAAATAAGATTGAAACAGGAGGCCTCTGTGACTTTTGAGCAAAGAGCTGAAGGAAGCGAGAGAGTATCAGCCATGAAGCAGCTGAGCCATCAGAAAGACTGCTATARCAGAGGTCACAATGATAAGGTCTAAGGTAGAAACTTCCCTGGCATTTCTGGGAGCCTAGGAGCATTTCGTAGCATGGATAGAGATGTAGCCCAGAGGGACCAAGGAGGGCTTAAATATAGAATGATGGCCCTTCAGAGCAGATGCTGAAGGTAGAGCCATCCTCCTCCTCCAGTCACCTGGTCACAGGCAGAGCAGCTGGATCCAAGAGTGGATGAGGTGAAAGTTAGCCAGGGAACACCAAAGACTTCTCCCAGTTGCCAGTCCTCCCTAGGAAAGGAGTTACTACAGGGATAGAAGTGGGATAAAAATCTCTCTTTTCCCTAGTGGCGAGGATGAAGTCCAAGGAGAGAGACAGAGACAGTTCTGCTCCTGTTTGTTGGTCAAATTGAATGCCCTCAGCTCTGTCCATGACCTGCTTATCTGTGCCCAGAGGGATGAGCCCTACCTCTAAGGGCAAAAGTTGTATCTCAAGGTTCTACTTTAGTTTCTGAGTCAAAGAATCTTATTTATCCTTTCTTCTTGACAGGAATAAAATATCATGTAATGAGAATTCAAGGAGCTAACGTTCTCCTCTGAATTAGGGACTAATGAGTGAGAGAAGGACTGAAAAGGATTAAGTGATGTAATTAAGAGACAGTTTCATCCTAACTGTTCTGCATGATGGATAAGCTCTTTGCTTGCCACAGTGCCCAAAAAAACTTTCAATGCAGTGACGGGGGTCTGAGTGTGTGTAAAGACTGGGGAGCTTGTAAATAAGCTTGTCTTCCTCAGTGACAGAATAAACCTTGCTTGGTGACTGCACTTTTGTAAAAGGTAGTTTTCCTCCATTATGTTTGAGTTTTATATTCACAGTCAACAACATGTTATTGCCCAAATGACATAGAATTACATAGAATCCTTTAATCCAGGTTGATCTCACTGGGCTGTGATTACTCATTGAATTATTCTTGCAATATCAGAGATGACTTGATATTGCAAAATAAGTGATTTTAGAGGTTCTCATTTAGTAGACCTGGAAAAATCTTTTTGAGCCTCCTCAAAAAGAGGAGGACATATATTTTCTCTATATATCTGAGATTCTACTTACTGTTTCCACACCTCCTTAAACTGTAAAGTAAAAATTGTAAAATGTAAAAATATGTATTAAGGTGCTATCATAAGAAGAATAGAAAGATAATAGAAGATCCAATTCTTTCATTCAGAAAGGCAGGAAGCTCATATTAGACAACTTCTATGAACTAAGAATATTTTTTATATTTAGTTTATTCTCAACCACTTCCCTGTCTGCCCTGGGAAGCACATATTTCTCCTCTTCCCTCAACTTACACAGAAGAATACTGAGGCCTAAAGGTCCTAGGTAGACCAAGATCACACAAATAGAGAGTGGAAGGCTGTGTGGGTTTTGCTTCAAAGTTCATATTTTTTCCATGGCTCCCAGCTTGTTCTAGTTAATCTGCTGAAATTCCAAAGTATTTCCCAATGATTACTGCTCCATTCTGTGTCTGTGGCATTCTTCAATAGTCAGAAAATCTCAAAAAAGGTGAGCCTTTTGCTCCTTTTTGGGTGCCTTGGAAATGGCCATCGTGGGCCTAGAAGGCATCCTTTGGATCCGACATCATTCTTGCCGCCCTAGCCACCAGGGTTTGGGAGCTCTCTTAGACTGTCCATGTTCCAAATCTTTTGGAGGGAGGGTGATTCTAAAGGCGACTTGACTTCTCTCCCCCAAGTAGCTGCCTTTCCGTAGGCGGCCGCCAGAGGTCCCTGCTCAGCGCCCCGTGGCGATAGTAGAGCCCGGGAGGGTTGTGCGGCGTGCTGGGTGCAAGTGGGGGCTGCTTTTGGAGCCGCGGAGACTGCAGCCGGAGCCCAGCGCGCGGACCAGAAAGTCCCTCGCGTGGATCGGCAAACGTCGCCCCTTCTCCTGGAGCTCACCCTCTTTCTCTTGCTCCTGCTACTGCTGACCCGGCAAAGGGAGCCGACAGGGCCCCAGGCTGAAGGTAAAACCCCACGGTAAGAACCCCGCTCCCAGCGAGGGAAGGTGGCACAATCCCGCAGCAACTCGATTCGGATTGCGTCCAGGCGGCAGAGGTGTGGGGCGCACTTGGGGCCGGTGCAACAGGCACCCTGGAGGTGGTGGACCCGCTCTCTAGCCGCCTCCCGCGGGCTTCCGGGGCTGGAGCCCTCTTTAAACCGTGCCTGCGTCTCGGCTTCTGGCCGGCTCCCGGTGCGCACTTCCCGGGCAGGAACGTGGGTCCAGTTTCTAATCGGGGGCAGGGGCCTTTATTTTAAAAGATATGCCAAGAAAATCTTCCTTTTAGGGTGCAAATCCATCCCGGTGCCATTCCGAATCGCTTATGCCTGCAGGGTGCGCGCTGGGCTGTGGATGGCGGGAAGACAAACTTTTACAAAAGTGCGTCTGAGCAGGGGGACAGCTTTTGGGCGGCTTGATCTTGAGTGAAGTGGCTCGATTTGGGAATGAGTAGGGAACTCTGTACCCTCAACCGGGTGGCTCCCTAGACCCTCCCCCCCCCCCCCCCCCCCCCCCCCCCCCCCGCCAGCTGACGGGATGTTGATGCTTCACAGAGGGAAGGAGGGTATATAGGACGTACAAATTCTACTGAACTCTTAGGCCAACTGTCAAACATCGGGAATTGCAGCCCCTGCCTTTCCCTGCACGATGAAGGTGGAAACCCTTAAACTTTTCTTTGATTTCCCTACCCCACCTTTGGACCCCTGCGCGGGGATTGGAGTGAATGGTTGACTTGTGGCGCCCAACGCTACCAGGGGACCCCCAAACCATTCCAGATCGCTCCAACCCCATTCCTGACCCCCTCCCATAACCCTTTCCACAGGGACCCGGCGACCGAGCCACTGAGATCGTGTCGAATGGCCTTTTGTTTCTCCACGTTTCCCCTATTGTTTGCTTTTCCAACATCTGGTGGGGCTTGGGGAGAGAAGGAAGCACCTCTTGCCTCCCTCCCCCTCCTTCCATTGCCAGCCCCTGGGCCAGCTCGGGTTTGGGATCCCGGCTGGGGAAGGAGAAGAGCCCGACCCTACCCTTGTGGTTAGAGGGCGGAGAGAAAGTTGTTCTTTCCCCGCCTCCTCTGCTGCCTGTGGCCCAGGGCGCATTTCTCAGATCTTATCCCAAGGGCGCCGCAAAGGATGAAAATCCGAGAGGGATGCTGCTTTCGAAAAGAGTGGCAGCAAGGTTCTGCTCCAATCGAGGGTGCTCAGCGGTTGGTTCAGGAGGATTTCAATCTCTAGCTAAAGACGTTGTGGCTGGGCCACTGCTAGGGCAATGGACGTGGGCCAGGGCACCTCTGGTAGTCATAAGGCCGAGGTTCTGGGGTTTGAGTTTCCCAGGGCAGGAAAGCATGTGATTCTCCATAAAGATTGGAGATGCTGATAACTTAGGAACCTCAAGACTCTACTTGGAAATAGTGGTGTAGTGGCTCACTCTAGAGTATATGGAGAGGTTCTAATTTCTCGTAGGGCTCAAGTTCAAACTCCAAGTCCTTTCCCTGCATTGTAGAAAAAGCAGACCACTGCACATGGTGCAGATAGGGCCAGAGCAGTATTCCTGCTTCCAAGCCGCTGAGAACAGTGGCGTGGGATGCCCTCAAGTTCCGTTGTGAGTGCGCCTGGTAGGTTACAGGTGGCCCTGTTTGCCTGTAAAAATTAGATACGCAAAACTGATTCTTATTGAGTGTGAACCATTTACTAAGGAACTAGGGTGAAAGCAAATTAGCCACCCTGAGAAGGAAGGTGCCCCACATGGTTTCTGGAGAGCCGGTTTTCTATCAGGGGAGGCTGAGCCTGTGCACCTGTTGGAACCTATACCTCTCTTTAGCGTTGCGGTTGACCCGGTGTTGCCGGTTCCTCCCGCTTCCCCCAGTCCCAATCAGTCTCTCTCCCAAGGAGACTCAATTACAGTCTTCTTCTCTTCCTGTTCCCCACCCCCTACTGCAGATTTAATCCAGAGCCTTGTGCACTCCACCACTGAGCTACCTCCCCATCCTTTGTCCTCCCGCTCTCCAACTTTTGATCCCTCCCCAGTGCAGGGGAAGGAGGAAGCTTATGTGGGGACTTTTGTGAACTTTGTACCCATTCAAACTTATTTATTTATTTTTTTTGGCATGCTGGGTGATGGAACCCAGTATCTACTGTGTGCTGCATGGTAAGTAAGTGCTGTGACCCTGAGCTACATTCCCAGTCCCTACTCAGAGATTTTTAGTGAAATTTTATTGTGCTGGGCCCTGCACATGTCTAGATTTACCTTTCCTGACTTAACAGAACTTTTGAGCTTTCATTTAACAGAGAATTGAGACTGCTAAGTCAGGAATATGGTCACACAGATAACTTTCCCAGCAAGTTGTGGATATTACCAGTAGCATCACCAAAAGAAAAAAAAAAAAAAAGCAAAATCTTTGAAGTACTGGGAGACACTTCAATTTCATTATGAAAATGATCACCAAGGAAAGATTTTTTAAATTTAGMAGCAGCAGCAGCAAAACAACAATAAGGCCTTATATAAGAAGGCCTGCTTTGGGTACTGCTTGTTCAAGGAGTACCACAAAACATATTATTTTTAAAAAAACTTTTTTAGATGTTGATGGACCTTTATTTTATTCATTTATTTATATGTGGTGCTGAGAATCTAATCTAGTGCCTCACACATGCTAGGCAAGTGCTCTACCACTGAGCCACAACCCCAGCCCCCACAAAGTATTATTAAAATGTGAAAGGATATAAGGAAAACAGGGTTCTCATAGGGGAAGATAAGCTTTTGCTTATCTTTTTTAATTTTAGAGTTTAAAAAATTCCCCCCAAAATTATTGTAGAAAAAAATAGAAAACACAGTGAAAATTAAAAAGAAACAAAAAGAAGAGGAGGAGGAGGTAGTTTTATGAACAGCATTCCAGGGAACAATCTTATCCAATTGTATCCTTAATAAATAACTTTCTGAAAGAAGTTGATATACTTTTTAGGATATTTAAGATTGCCATATTGTCTTCTTTATCATCTCCCTAACAATATGCAAGAGGATCTGTTTTGCATATCCTACCCTCTACTTACACTCTATATTATTGTTTTTCATCTTTGCCATACAGATGGGAAGGGATCTTTATTGCTGCCTTATTTGCATTTCTTAAGTTGAAAGTGAGATTAAATACTTTTCCTACTTCTTCCTTTATGGTGATGCCCATTGGTGTCCTTGACTATTCATTTCAGTGGGGATGTTCTGCTTTCTCTTTTGTTAGATGTGCTCTTTATAAAAGCATACCATTGTGAGGGCTGTTCCTGCCACACAATCAGACAATCTATATTGATTAGAAAGTGTCACCTTTATTTGCCAGTTATCTTCCCTCATGCAGGGAAATATTTGGCAAAACTACAACCATAAATTACTAAAGTAACCACCATCATCCTAGTAATTAGAGCAGGTAAAGGTAGTAGAAATTCTTAGGAAAAAAAAATCAAGCATATATTTTCTGCTTAGTAGTTTGCATGCCCCAACTCTTTATAGCTCATGCTGCTTTTTCTTTCTTTCTTTTTTTTTTCCCCAATCTGGAAGAACTCTGTTGATGAGTTGTTTTTGCTAAAGGGATTACACTAATTCATTTTATTGTCTGATCCTTCTGCTGATAACCTGTTTGCCATGATCCACAGCTTCTTGTTCATTTAAACATCTCTTCTAAATTTTTGGCTGAAATTTGCCTCGCTTTTAGGGTAAGACTTTCTTTGGCTCTTTCGGCCAGGAATCCTGCACTTGGAACAATCTTGAATCTGAACTCTTTAGCAATGTGTTGTTAATAGCATTAGCAGGAGAAGTCTTCCAAGAACTGGATCAGGTACATTTCACCCTCATTTGTGTAACCACTTTCTCTGGCTTAATTCTTTTTTTTTTTTTTTTTTAAAGAGAGAGTGAGAGAGGAGAGAGAGAGAGAGAGAGAGAGAGAGAGAGAGAGAGAGAGAGAATTTTTTTTTATTGGTTGTTCACAACATTACAAAGCTCTTGACATATCATATTTCATACATTAGAATCAAGTGGGTTATGAACTCCCATTTTTACCCCAAATACAGATTGCAGAATCACATCAGTTACACATCCACATTTTTTACATACTGCCATATTAGTGACTGTTGTATTCTGCTACCTTTCCTATCCTCTACTATCCTCCCCCCTCCCCTGAGAGAGAATTTTTAATATTTATTTTTTTTTAGTTCTCGGCGGACACAACATCTTTGTTGGTATGTGGTGCTGAGGATCGAACCCGGGCTGCACGCATGCCAGGCGAGCGTGCTAYGGCTTGAGCCACATCCCCAGCCCTCTGGCTTAATTCTTGAATGAAGGTAGAGGATTCTGAAATGGAATAGAGGAGAAAGAGAAAGAGAAAATTCATTCATGTAGGTGGCAAATTAAAATAGACAAGAAGCCATATGAGAAGAGTTAAGTAAATAACCTAGGTAATCTGGTTATAAAATAATTTTTTAAAAAGATAAAAGATGAAATCTAAGTAGTATATATTATCAGGAAGGCTACTTTACTTGACTGATAGGCAGTAGTCTTGTAACTGGAAAAATCCAACGTAAAATTCTTTCATAAAATGACTCTAAGTCATTCATTTTAGGCATATATATATAAAAACAGTGAAAATTCATACTTTACTTTCTCTAGCATTTTCTCTGCCTTTAGATGTAGGAATCAGACAGTATGCATCTGGCAYGATGAGCACTCTGTTCAGAGTCATAAATTCCCAAGGGTTAAATGAAAGCTTAATGGTCATCGAATTCAATCCTCCATCTAAGTATCACTATGAATACCATTCTTCAAACTACATCATTTAAAACCAACCAAGCTGCCAAGCAAATGTCCAGAAATGTCAACCTCTTTCCTCTGGGAAAGGAGTGAGGGGTTGGCTCCACAGAGCTTCTATAAACTTTTTTAATGTGCTGAACTTTTATGGAATAAACAACCTTGGTCACCAGAGGGGTA